ACATACACAAAAAGGGGGAGTTAGTCGGTTCCGTAAGAGCCAGCATGCGGGACCGGGATTCTGGATTTGTAGTCTTTCTAGTTGCGTATTTTTCATAGTCTTATATTTCACAGTTTACGACAAACGTGACTTTTTTGACATGGAAATATTTTTTTAAGATTGACAAAACCATCATATGTGTAATTCGTGGCACAATTCAAATGGGATCGAAAGGTAATCTTTCTCTCTCCATTGACTTCAATACATAATTATTCCGAAATAAGGGTCCCATGGACCGGAAGTAGATGAGGCGTGACTTCGCCACTCTATTGCCAACAGACCTCGTTCGTTTTCGTCTCCGTGGTGGCCGGGGGCCTTAGAAAACATTTGGAAATGCAGTTTTGTGTGTGTGTCATAGAGCTTACCAACCGTGAGAATTCCCACCACAACACACAGACTATAACACACCCCATAAATACCAACCACCACTATGTGCAATATGTGCTATTTGTGCAATATATATATATGCCGTTAATAACTGCAATATATACCTGGCTCTAATCCCTAAGAACTGTTACAGATGTGTATTTGTAAATTGTGTGACTTTTTTAAATTATATTTTGTATTTATATAACTTTTTTTTTAATAATGCATTTAACATATGTAACATTAAGCTGTCTTTGGCTCTTTTTTCTGCTGTAACAACATAAATGTCCCCTCTGTGGACTAATAAAGGTATTCTGATTCTGAAATGTTTCTAAATGCACGCATCTCTTTGCATTCTTAGTATGAGAACATCTGGGGGGTATGAGAACATCAGTTCACTCAAGGTCATGAAAAGGAAGGAAGCGAGTTTTGGTGCAAATCATTTTATTCATTGATAGCAGACAGAACAGAAAAAGAGACTCTCTGGTTTACATGTGGAAACTTTATACAACATAAAAAAGGACCAAGCAGCACACACTTCTTTTTTAATATGCCTGCTTATAAACACTGCTGGTCCACAGTCGTGGTGCCAGGGAGGATAAAGTGTGTATGAATGTTGAGGTGAGGAACTTTAGGACATTTATTGGCGGGTGGGGGGCTGTGGGCTCTCCGATTTTTTCTTCCTCTTCTCCAGAAAAAAGGCATACCTAAAAGGCTAAACTCAAAATATAACATGGAACTAATTATTGTGAAGGCTGATGTGAAGAAGAGGGGAACTAATGCCAGCAGAGATAACTCAATCAGTATTATCCATAAACATAAATATCCTTATGCTGTTTTTCCTATAATTGACAGATAAGTCCTATTCACTGGCGAAAAATATAAAATTAAACTTCGACAGGATTGTTGTCATTTGCATGATACATTTTTTTGAGCACATTTATGACCAACTATGCACACTAAATATATGCTTTGTGACAATCACCAAGGCTGAAATATAAATTT